TTCCGAGAATTACACGGTGGAACTGATATGTCAAGATATTGTGAAGGATCATCTTCAAGTGAACGCTTTAATATAGTAAGTAAGTAAATATATGTATATATATGTGTGATTCTATCTCATAAACTATGAAATACACAGTCTGTCCCAGATCCAATGAGACTGGTCTAAAAAAATACAAAGCGTTTATTATTTTTATTTTTCATTTTTGTTTATTCAAAATAGTCTCCTTCTGAGTCAATACAGCGCTGGAAACGTTCAACAAATTTTTCGAAACATTTTTTATACTCATCGGCTGGAATGGCCTTTAGTATGGCGGTCGAAGTCTTTTGGATGACCGGGATAGTATCGAAACGATTTCCTTTCATCGCCAATTTCAGTTTGGGAAATAGCCCGAAGTCGCACGGAGCCAAATCAGGTGAATACGGTGGATGATCGATAACAATGATGCCTTTTTTGGTCAAGAATTCACGTACCATGATGGCTTTGTGCGATGGTGCATTATCGTACAACAAAAACCAACTGCCTGGCTCTCGATATTCCGGTCGAACTCGTCGAATTCTGGCCCACAATCGTTGTAGAACTCCAAGATAATATTCTGCGTTCACCGTCTGACCTTCTGGAACGAATTTACTATGAACAATTCCCTTTGAATCGAAGAAAACGGTCAGCATTGTCTTGATTTTGCTCTTCTGAAAGCGTAATTTTTTCTCTTTTGGCTCTTCTGGTGACTTCCATGCCGCACTCTGACGTTTTGTTTTTGGCTCGTATTGAAAACACCACGTTTCATCACCAGTTACAATGGCTGACATGCTTGCCGAATTCCTTCGGGACATTTTTAACATGTCTTTGCAATGCTGAACTCTCCAATCTTTTTGGTCGTCTGTCAGAATGTGTGGCACGAAGCGCGTACAGACCTTCCGTTTGCCCAAATCTTCGGTCAAAATTCGATAGACTGTGCTTTTCGGTATCCCAGTTTCCTCTTCGATGAGTCTCGCAGACACATAGCGGTCGCTTAGAAGAATTTCTTTGACTTTCTCGATGTTTTCTTCATTGCGAGTGGTTTTTGGCGGCGGTGCTCGGTCATCGTCTGCAAGGTCCTCACGACCATCACGGAATCGGCCAAACCAACGGAAAACCTGTGCACGGGACATGCATTCATCCCCGTGCACATTTTTTAGCGTTTCGTACGTTTCTGCACCACTTTTACCCAATTTAAAACAGAATTTAATATTCGCTCTTTGTTCTATGTTGGTTTTTCGACCGACGTACACAAAGTGACTTTACATAAAATGTCAAATCACAGTGAAATATCAACCGAATTCGCTCAAATTTTGAGGTTAAGTAGATGAAGGGTAGAACATTCATCTACCATCATTCACTCATAGATGTCGCTGCGCTAAGAACTTTGATGGAACCAGTCTCATCGTATCTGGGACAGACTGTGTATAACCTCAATCTCAACTTTAGATTAACATCAATTCTGGAAAAAGAAGAAGGAAAGAAGAATAGAAAATTAACATCATGTTTTACAATAATAAATAGTAGGATCATGTTTACAATAATAAATAATATATTAGGAATTATATTATAATTATATTATAATACATTATATTATATTATAATGATAAGCCAAATAACAAATCACCATGTATTTTCTGTGAAGAACATATAACAATGCACTGGGTTGTACAAAGCGTTAGACGAACTCAATGCCGAAGGTAGGACCAAAATTGCAGTGTTAAAATCCTCCATAGAGCGATTAGCGTCTATTGCTGAAACCGAACCAAATGAGAAGAAGAAGACAGTTGTTTTCCATAGTTGAGAGCTATAAGGAGCAATTAAATGTGTTCTTGGCGGTTTTTCGCAAGGCTAATGTCGTTAGCTCTTGTGTCATAGATAAATTAGTTTAGGAGAATCTGCTCTCTCTACCAGAGGAGCGGCAAAATGCTCTTCGTAAACGACGAGACAAACAAAGTTTGACAGATTCTTCTAGCCAAATCACAGACAAATTATTCAGCATCGTAATAATTCAGCATCTAGCTGAGACAACTCAGAGAAGTGCTGATACATTGGACATATTGTTTACGTACTATATTTTTGAATTATTTCATAAAAATATGGAATTTATTAGATATCTATCATGCAGAATAAAGCAGTAACTATTATCTTATCTTGAATATCTTGAATATGAGATATGAGAATAGAAAAATATTTAACCCGTTTCGGATGAAAACGCCACTCTCGGTACATCGCTCTTTGGCGGCTCATAACTAATACTATTGTGTCTGAAAAATTCGAGAGGTACATATTTTTATAATTTAAGATGTGTCCTTTCTGTTAATGTCCATAAAATTTCTCCAAAAAATTGTTAATTATGGAAAGAAACAGTTTAAAACAAAAAAAACATGATTTTTTCGCACTTTTTTTTTTAAATTGAATTTTCAAAGGGTTTCCTGTCTGCAATGACCCTAGAACCCCACTAAACGGTGGAATAAACGTTTAAACTTTAATAATATGTGGTTTGGAGATCGATTTTACTCCTTAATGTATTCAAAATGGCACCTAAACTGCAAAATTTTCGTGAAAACATTCATGAATTTTTTATTGAAAAATGATGCATTTTTACGAAAAATTGTCAAGAATAAAAAGTTCTTAAAATCACTCAAGAAATGCACTCGAATTTTTTGAAAATATTTCGAGCAATTTTTTTGATTTTGTAAATAGTCAATTTATGCAAAATTGAAAAAATTGCTCAAAGAATTCCGAAAAAATTTGGGTGCATTCTTTGGCTAATTATAACAACTTTTTATTCTTTACCATTTTTTCATTAGTGCATTATTTTCAAGAAAAAAACTTTCAAATGTCAAAATAGTATCGGATCATGAAAAGGTTTGATATATTCGCACATCTATCGTCAATCCGCCGCAAACAAAGTGTACATTGCGTTAAAATTTTAGAAGGATTTGTGTGATGGTTTTTGAGGTAATTAATGTCAAAATTTCGTTTTTATATACACGATCTCTTATGGGAGGGACAAGAAATTCCGCAGTAAATCCATCGCATCTTATCAAATGATAAGAAACGAAAAAAAAATAAACATACGATAATTAAAGTGAAAAATTTTTCTTTTCATTTCCAAACATTAAAAAACTGACAGCACTGTCTTAAGTATTTGATAGAATAGACAATAAAACGACTTTTATTAGCCAGCAGCATTATAATCTATCACCTATACCAAAACTGTAGCAGACGAAAATCATTAGAATCATTTTATTCTACGTGATCAACTTACTATTCAGTTTTTCGACATTTTAATTTAGACTATAATATAATATAGCTTTTTGAAATAGTAGAAACAATTTTTTAAGTTTGTATCGCGCAACTGATCCCGTGTATATAGTAGGTGAACCCAGTGATCCCACATTTGGCCCGTTTGGTAGCACGCCGTAGCATGGAGGAGTAACGCACACAAGCGCGCGTCGTGAGCGCGAGAGGCGTCGGAGTTTTTTCTCTTGAAAATAATGCACTAATGAGAAAAATGGTGAAGAATAAAAAGTTATTATAATTAGCCAAAGAATGCACCCAAATTTTTTCGGAATTTTTTGAGCAATTTTTTCAATTTTGCATAAATTGACTATTTACAAAATCAAAAAAATTGCTCGAAATATTTTCAAAAAATTCGAGTGCATTTCTTGAGTGATTTTAAGAACTTTTTATTCTTGACAATTTTTCGTAAAAATGCATCATTTTTCAATAAAAAATTCATGAATGTTTTCACGAAAATTTTGCAGTTTAGGTGCCATTTTGAATACATTAAGGAGTAAAATCGATCTCCAAACCACATATTATTAAAGTTTAAACGTTTATTCCACCGTTTAGTGGGGTTCTAGGGTCATTGCAGACAGGAAACCCTTTGAAAATTCGATTAAAAAAAAAAAAAGTGCGAAAAAACCATGTTTTTTTTGTTTTAAACTGTTTCTTTCCATAATTAACAATTTTTTGGAGAAATTTTATGGACACTATCAGAAAGGGCACATCTTAAACTATAAAAATATGTACCTCTCGAATTTTTCAAATACAAATAGTTATGAGGATTAGTTATGAGCCGCCAAAGAGCGGTGTACCGAGAGTGGCGTTTTCGTCCGAAACGGGTTAATAGAAAATACATGGTACTGAAACAATTGTCTTATAGTAGTAAAGTTTTATTTTCTAAGTAAACTAAGCTTTAAAAATCTAAATCCTTTATCGCTTTTTCCTAAATTATTTTTTAAATAAAATGTTTTAATGTAATAAAATTTATTAAAATGTTTTTTTGTATCATAACTGATTTTGAATCGTTCTTTATTATAGGTTGTTGTATTTCTTCTAATAACTGTTATCGAAAAATAAATTCAGAAACAGCATTCCATTAAAAAAAACAAAGATGACCTTCAAATCTTAGGAATCACCTGAAAAAAAGCGTTACCACCGCAAGGATTACTTCTGCACCATGTAATTTCTCTTTGTTAGATAAATTATTATTTATTATTATCGCCTCACTATATATTGTCTGTTTAAGAATAATTATTACGATTCTACCGATTATGCTGTTTTGTTTCAATAACATCCTCTGACAAAGTTGATAACGCGAGAAACGAGCTGGAGCATCAACAGCAAGTGATAGTGCAATCGGGAAAGCTCTTAGGAAAATATGGTAAATGCGAAGTCACCGATAAAGTATTACTTGCACTGGCCTTCGCGTTCTTCCTCGCCTGCGTGTTTTACATTTCACAAAAGAGACTGTTCTGAAAGCCCTTTGTATGTGATATTAATGAAATGGACTGATCATTTATGGTGATATCGCGACTGTAACATATTGCGCAGGAATTCTCACGATAAATGACATAGAAAATGTATGTACTATTTAAGAGGAGAAATCGGGTGACACGGGCTTTACAAGTATTTTAATGACTTTACGCGTGTGTGGATAAATTGCTCGTTAATCTCTGAAGGACGTTTTTATTCGGTCACCAAATCTTATTAAATAAACTCAACTGGTTGTATATAATGGTATCCTGTAAGAAGATAAAATATTTATTAAATTTCAAAATGTATACACGTTTTTACTATTCATTATCACTAAAATAACGATGTCGTATCGCGAGACGTTATGGAAACTAATTGCTCGTACATTTTTACAACCGCTTATGAATTCCTCCCTGGTGACTATTCCGTCTCTGTCTACGTTCATCTTCTTGAAGAACTTGTCCACTTGGATGTTAATTGCGGGCTGGATGGTCTGCGCGTCCTGCACCATCTCATAAATCGCGAATATTATGACCAACATTTCTCGCTTCGTGATACAACTGTCTCCATAAAAATCGTAGAATCTGATGAAAAGTAGGTCCAGAGAGTATTTCGCATGTTATGATCGTCGAGGTTATTGACTTCAATAAGTATTAGTGATCAAATATTTAATAAATATCCAATAATCAAGTAAAATTTCTATTGCGACTAATATTAACATTTTTAAATGTCACTTTTTAACTTTGAGTATTATTCCGAGGAAAAATGATTATATATGTAAATTTTCTCTGCACAGCCATCATTAAATAGCAAGAAAAAAGTACAAAGTGGTCAGTCTGTGCCCGAAGAAGTTACAGAAAATCAAACCGAACTTCTTAACTGACACGAAATAAAAATCTTTCAGGTTGCGCTCGAAAATGAGCCTGGAATCAGACAGTCCGTTATTAACAGCGATTACTGCTCACCCAAATATCCAAGAGAGCTGATCGACCATGCCGTTCACGATCGATGCTGTGGCATCCAGAAGATCGCTGAAGCTGACGAAACCGTCGCCGTTCTTATCGAAACTGTAGAAGACGATTTGCGTGCATCTGGTTGAGTTGGCCAATGGGAACAGTTTTTGGCGTATGCAGGTTTCAAATCGCCAGGCGTCACACTGTTTGCGCAGCATCTCCGCCGGCGGACCGAATCGTCGTCAGTCGCGAAAAGACGGGACTCTTAGCTGAAAATATTTGAGCGAACGTTAATTCAGAACGCGATGTCGTGAACTTCTCGCGAAGAAATGAGAAAGAGATCTTTCTTTCTAAGTATTCTCTTGACGCGTGAAAAATTGGTGGCAAGTTTTGATACTTTTTTTGTAATCTTTTCTCGTAAGTTCTTATAGTATATAACGATTATCGTGCGCGTGTTAGCTCGTTTCATGTAGTGAAAAGTAAAAATAAGAATTCTGAATAGTTTTGTATACTAATATTTCTTTCGTAGTCATAACATAAAAACTTATGCAATGTGACTTAACCCTTCCGTGTCTGACTTTTTTCTAGAAATAATCTGCGTCTAATTCACGTTTTACTAAAGGTTTTTAGAATTGCTGATTATGAATTTGTAGTCAAAATTTCAAAATTCAGAATAATACCTATAATTGTAAAATATTTATATAGAAATTATATAGAATACACAAGTCAATATGTTCCACCGCATATATTTCATTTCTCACCTTTCGTTTACATGTAAATAACGATAATTATGAATATCGTGATCTTATATGTATATATATTTATATAATAAATTACACAGTCTGTTTTATCAAATATTTATTTCTATATACACCTTTCCCTTTTTAAATGCAGAATTGTAATTAAAATTTAGCAATATATAAGTTAGGAGCCATTTAAAACCCAACGCACGTCGCCACCATCTCGATCAGCTGATTGAGTGCAAGGCTTGCTGTGGATTTGCTACCAATTTGCTCTCGTGTCTTGTGCGCAAGTGTTGCTCGGCGTTTGGTGCCTATTTGGTGCTAAGTTATGCGCTACAAAATTTGCGCGGTTTTTGCTGCAAATTTACTGCAAGTTGCCCCACATCAAGCCTTGACGTCAAAACACAATCCTAAAGAGGACATAGTTGCATATGGTTTTGGCATCAAGTTTTGATCGAATTTGTTGCCAATTTGCACTCAATTTGCACTCATTTTGCTCATTGGGTTAGTATAGTATATATTTGTTTCTATGATACTTTTTTATGTTTAGAATATTAATATTTACATCTGAATGTAGAATGGCGGATGATAAGAGACAGAAACAAATTCGTTTCTATTCAGATAAACATAACCGTCGTCTCATACAACAACAAACTGAAGCTATATACAGAACTTTTGGTGCATTAGAAAATCTGCTATCATCATTTATTCCTGTCTAACCAATTAATCCAAGTGGAAATGAGAGATTGATTCACACTAGTGATCAAGTATTGGAACATAGTGAATATGACAATGTTGATTATGACATATTGCAACTGCAGGATGAATATATAATATTTAAGTGTATAGTATATATATAGTACATAAGTATATATAAGTATTATTAATATAATATATATTAATAATATATTAATATATGTTTGTATTATATTGAGATGCATAAGTATAGTAATTTAGTAAAATTAGAATAATTGATAATTAAATTTAACATAAAAAGGAACATAATAATAATGACGCTAATATGCAGTAATAATAAATAAAATAATATTTAAAAATACATTAAAATTTTTATATTATTTAATATAATACTATTTTTATATATAATTATATATATACAATTATAAATGTTATATACAATTTTATATATAAGTTATAAACAAATTTTACATACAATTATAAATAAACAGTGTTTAAAATTATTTTTTATAAAAAATGAAAAGTAAAGACAAAATGATAATTAATATATTAGGTGTACAAATGAATAATCCAATTTTTTCAGCTACATTCAAGGTTTATTTTAAAAGAAAGTAAATTAAATTGTTCAATCAAAGTATTCACCGTTGCTTTCTATAATATTAAGCCATCTTTCAGGCAGCTGATGAATTCCATCTCAGAAAAATGTTACGTCTTTGGACACGATAAAGTCGTCAAGCCATTTTCGAATCTCATCCATTGATTGGAAGTGCATATCGGATAAGGCGTATTGCATCGACCGGAACAAGTGATCATCGGATGGAGCAATGTCTGGTGAATAGTCGGTTGCAGCCAGGTGCTACAAGACGTCCTAGCCAAGACTCATGGTGTCTTTTGTATTGGAAGCAATGTGTGGTCTGGCGTTATCATGGAACAATTTCACTGGACGTTCTCCTTTGCCAATATACGGGCGTTTTCGTTCCAATTCTTGACTCAAGCAGATTAATGGACGTTGGTAGCAGTCCGCAGTAACTGTTTCACCCGGTTCCAACAACTCATAACAAAGCATGCCCTTGATATCCCACCAAATGCAGAGAAGAACCTTCTTTCCGAAGCGATTTTGATGATTCACCGGAATTTAACCAAGACTTTCTGCGTTTCGGATTGTCATAGAGTATCCATTTCTCATCGCCCGTAACGATTTTCCACAAGAAAGACTTTCGACGCTGCTTATTGAGAAGAGAAAGACACGCTGCCACTCGTTGATTTTTGTTGGTTTCAGTGAGTTCATACGGAATCCATTTTCCTTCTTTCTGGATCTTTCCCATCTTATGTAGGCGTTTGGAAATCGTTTGCTGCGTTATTCCCAAGTGTCCTGCAAGCTCTTTTTGTGTTTGTGCCGAATTCTCAGCGAGCAGTTGTTCTAAATCATCATTATCGCACTTCGGAGGGCATCCAGGGCGTTGTTTGTCGATTAGACTGAAATTACCGTTTTTAAACCGCTTAAACCAAAATGCGCACGCATCGTACGATACAACACCTTTGCTGAGAAAGGAATAAATCGCTTCGCACGCTCTTGCAGCATTTTTTCCTTGTTGGAATTCGTAAAGAATGCAGTGTTGGATATGCACCTTATCTGTTGCCATTTTTGACTGTACTGAACTGAATACTTTTGAAGGTTATGTTGAGCCTTTCGCCAAACTATATGTTCTTTTTAATAGCTATATGCCAACATTACATAATCGCAAAAGGGCGGGAAAATCTATTCAATTTAGAATTGATTTCATAACTGCTTAAAATAATTTGGATTATTCTTTTGTACACCTAATACATACTATTCCACGCCTATGTTTATGTCGTTATATTACCTTTATTTAAATATTATTAAATATTAATCATACTTTTATTTAAATATTAATATCATGTATTACTTATTTTTGCAATTGCAGCAAATATATATATATATATATATATAAATAACAAGGACTTCCATTTCCGGCGACGAGTGAGTGAGATTAGTGAGTGACAGGGAGAGAATAGGGAAAGGTTATTAGTAGGAAGTAGTGAGAGTGGAGGAGAAGGGAAGGGTGCGAGAGATAGTGGGAGGGAGTAAAGTGGATGGTGAGAAAGGGCAGGAGGGGGGAGTAGCGGAGGAAGGAGAGTGGAGGAGTGAAAAGTCGGAGCAGGATATTGAGGTTAGGAAACGGGGAGAGAGAGAACGGAGGAGGGAGGCAGGAGGTAGAGAGAGGTGGTGCGAACTGGTGGAAGAGATGAGAATTAAGAGAGAGTCGCGGGAAATCCGAAAGGTGGTAAGGTGAAGAAGGGGAGGAAGGAGTGAGAAGGAGGATAGAGGAAGGAGGAAAAGGAAGGAAGGGGGGTGTAGAGGAGGGAAAGAGATGAGAGAAAAAGAGAGGGAGGTTGACAAATGCGGAACGGTTGAGGAGAGACAGCACGAGCAGTATGGGAAGTGTGAGAAGTTTTATAGAGATGATGTGGGAGGGGAGAAGGAAGATAAGGGGGGGAAGAAGAGGAGGATGAAGAGGAGAGGATAGATAAGAAGAATTTGAAGGTAGGAAGGCATCGAGAGGGGGATGAGGAGGGAGGAAGTGGGAAAGTAGAGGAGAAGGAGGGAGAAAGGGAGAAAGGAGGATGGATGAGAGAAGAGGAGATAAAGGAAATAATATGGAAATTGATGGAAGAAGTGAAAGGGTATAAAGAGGAAGTGAAGAGGGAGGGAGAGAGGAGGGAGAGAGAGAATAGGGAACTAAGGGAGGAATTGAGAAAGGAGAGAGAAGAGAGAAGGACGGAATGGAGTAGAGAGAGGAGGGAGAGGGAGGAAAAAATAAAGAAGATGGAGGAAAGGATGGAGAATGGGAGAAATGGGAGGAGAAAAGGAGGTAGGAGGGAGGAATAGGGGAGGAGGGAGGAAGAAGGATAAGGGAACTGGAGATAAGGGTAGATAAAAAGGAGAGGGAGGAAAGGAGAAGAAATGTGGCGGTGAGGGAGGTAGAAATGGGGGGAAAGGGGTAGAGGAGAATATTAAAGAGATATGGAAGAGATTGGAGCTGAAAGTAGATATGAGGGAGGTGAGGAGACTGGGGGAAGGGCAAAAAGAAGGGGAGGGAATGGTATTAGTAAAGCTAGGCAGTATGGAGGAAAAAAGGAAGGTGATGGAAGCGAAGAAGAAACTAAGAGGGAGGAAGGAAAGGATAGAGGACGATTTAACAAGGGAGGAGAGAAGGATGAAGTGGAGGATAGAAAGAGAGGCGGAGGCAGAAAGAAGAAAGGGAAAAAGGGTACAAGTGGAGTATTTGAAGATGTTGGTGGATGGGAAGATAAAGAGATGGGATGAGGGGGGGAAGTGGTGGGAGATGAAGGGAAACTGAAGGGGGGTGAGATGAAGGGAATGAGACAGATAAAAGGGATAAGAGGGATAAGTAAGAGGGATGAAGAGAAGGGAAAGGGAAGGGAGGAGGGAAAAGGGGAGGAGGTTTATAAGGTGGCATTTTGGAACGTGGCAGGGCTGGGGAATAAAGATAGGGAATTCTGGGAAGGACTGAAAGAGTGGGACATAATGGTTTTAATGGAGACGTGGATAGACGAAAGGGGGTGGGGAAGAGTGAGAAAGGAGTTGCCGAAAGGATATAGATGGGAATGTCAGGGAGCGAAGAGAAGGAATAGGAAAGGGAGGGCGATAGGGGGAATGGTGAAAGGAGCGAGGTAAGGGAGATGAGAAGGGAAGAGGAGGAAGAGATGGAGGGGATGTTGGTGAGGCATGTGAGAATGACAAAGGAATGTTGGATAATAATAGGGGTATACGTGATTAGGGATATGGAGGTAAAGTTGGAAAGGATGAAGAAGTGGGTGGAGGAAAAAGGGGAGAAGGGGAGAATGATAGTTGGGAGGGATTAAAACGCGAGGACAGGAAGGGAGGGAGGAGAAGTAGTGGGAGGGGGAAGAGGAGAGAGGGGAGGAAGGGAGCAGGAACTCCAAGGATGGGAAGATATGTAAGAACGGAAGGACGTTATGTGAATTTTTGGGAGAAAGAAGATGGTGAATATTAAATGGGAATACGAAGTGAGATGAGAAGAGTGAGTGGACGTACGTAGGAGGAGGGGGGTGTCAGTAGTAGATTATGTGATAAGAAACTGAGAGACAATGGAGAGGGTGGAGAGAATGGAAGTGGGAGAAAGAGTGGAGTCGGATCACCAGCCGGTAGTAGTGTGGATAAGAGGGGGAAGGGAGGAGGGAGGAGATAGGAAGAGAGTAAAAGAAGGGGGAGAAAAAAAATGGTGGACCAAGAAGGAACTAGAAGGATTCGGCGAGAAATTTAGGAAAGGGGAGAGAAGAGAGGAGAGAGTACAAGAGGAATGGAGGAGATTAGAGGGGGGATAAGAAGAACTTTTGAGAGGGATGAAGGGGAAAGAGAGGAGGAAAGAGGGGAGAGGATAATGGGATGAAGAATGTAGGAAGGCGAAGAGAAGGTTGAGGGAAGAGCTGAGGGAATGGAGGAAAAGGGGAGTAGATGGAGAAAAATATAGGAAAGAGAGGCTAAAGTATAAGAAGATATGCGAGGAGAAGAAGAGGGAGCATTGGATGAGGGAGGTGGAGAAGAGGTGGAAAGAGGGGGGTGAAGGAGAGGAAGGAGAGATAGAAAGAGCGGCGGAAACGGAAGTTGAGGTATGAAAGGAAAGGAATGGAGAGTGAGAGGGAGGGAGTGAGTGGGGGAATGAGAGTGGGCATGAGGAGTATTCTCTCTCTCTCGCGTGCGAGCGGAGATTAGTTGTAAGAATAGATTTAAGGAAGTAGATTATAAAAGATAGGGGGAAGGGAAGAAATGTAACCTCAAGGGGAATCAATAAAGTACTAATATAAATAACAATATTGAAATATTTCGTACATTTATAATATTTATGTAAACCCAAATTATATATATCCAATTTTATTTTATTTCAGAATTGAAGCAATATGCCAAAAACTAAAAATACTCCAAAAATTTCATTAACATCTTTCATTAAGTTATGAAAGTAGGTATATTTTTTATTTTAAAAGAATAATTATATAACTGTTACATAATATTTACTGAATCAATATTAATAAGCCATACATTCATATTTTTATTTACATGATAATTGTCCTGACAAACAATATATCAACATCATTTTGTAAACATGTATATGTTCCTCTTATGAAATAAGATTCATGAATTATCGTGCATAGTAAAGTTGTGATGTCTAAATCTGCTGTCGTGATTGAATACTTCCCAGTTAACTATTTATTTACAGATTGCAAACCATTAGAAAGCAATTTTTTGCCAAATGATGCTGTCAAATCCAGGGTTTACTGTGTCTTCATTTAATTTGTGTTTTGGCGACAAAGTCTATTGGCAGGAATTTTCACCAGATTGATGGCACAAACCGCATATAAAACTTGCTGCCAATCGAGTCTGTCCTATTTCTACCACCAATCTGGTCTGAATTGCCTGTTAACGAGCTTTGTTGCATTTTTGACGGCAGTTTGGCAACATAATTTGTTATAACAAATCCTATATAATATTTATTGTCTTTCTGGCATTACAAATTTGTTGCATGCTCTGCTAAAAATTTGTTGCAGCAGATTTTATTATTTGGGTTCCTATTTGAATAATAGTGAATTATCTCACGCGATCATTCACTAACCTTTTAATAATTCATAAATCAACAGAAAATTTTGGAAAAGTGATATGATAAGTTTTTAGTCTGTTTCTGTATCTACAAGTACTATAACAATCTAAAAGTACACGATGGCAGGCATCGTTATTAAAGTTCACCTACTATATCACGCGTGATCGTTTGCCAACTTTCTTAAATTAGTAATTCAAAATGTAATAGAATTCTTTGCACCATGATTTAGAAAATTTCTGTTCAGTTTTATTTAATCCACATGTACATGATGCATGAAACACTTGTTTTTTTATCTATTCATCTTTGTCGTTTCAGATTTTACGATAGAACAAGTGAAAAGAGAGATATAAAGAAGCCGCAAAAGCTTGTATCTACTGAATCTGAAAATGAGGAAAAAATAAAGAATATTAAGAATAAGTCAAGTATACAAACATCGATAAAGAAAATTAAAAAAATATGTTGATGAGAATAAATCACCAAATATAAACTCGGTAACTGAAATATCTGCAAAACCGAAGATTATATCAGAAAAAGTAATAACACCTGCATCATCAATAGAACTTCAGAATGAAACTCAGCGTAATAAAAATGCTAAGTTTCTTGTTTCCAAGCAAATCAGGACTGATGCAAAAAATGAATGAAATAATGAAAAAAATACTAGGCTACTGACAAGGAAACGGTCGGGGGCGTCCCTCACCGATTTGAATGGGCATTGGATATGTTGTAGAGGATCAAAAAATATTAGACACGTATTTTTTTATATGTGCTTATCTCGAGGTTTAGGGGTTGAAATCACCCCTTGAAAAGAACGGATTTTTTCGTTTTTATCAAATATCTTCTAAAATATGAGAGATATGAAAACATAGTAAATGTAAGAGTTTTACAGTATTTGATGCTCTTTGCACCTGTCAATTCAAATTTTTCAAAATATCAAATTTACCCCCCCGCTCCCCCCTCCACTCATTATTTTCGCAAAATTCAAAAATATTGTAAGGACAAAAATTAAAGAGCATTGAATTCCGAGTCCAACCATATATAATAATGTTACTTCCCGAGATACGGACTTTTCGAAAAATAGATGGAAATGTCCGTGTATACCCGTAACACGCTATGCACAGCGCCTACCTCACTTGATAATATACGCAACATGTCCTCTTCGAATTTCTTTCGAATAATAGGCGATTAATACCGATACGGAGAATATGTAATCATAAAACATTTCAATATATAATAACGTTATTAATAACAATCATAGATTTATACACAACAATATTTCTATGCTTTGTTTTTATAAAAAGATATACGTATACGCTCTATGAAAGTTAGATTTTATATATGATAAGTTTGTGTGTCTATTTTTGTGGTGGTTGACGTAAGTACTATGACGGAAGTGATACATGAATTGCAAAATCAATCATGTTTATTAACGCGGCGTTTCCATCGAATCTATGACTCGTGAAAAACGCCGCATTCATGAAATCATACGTGATTGCATAATTATATCTGATATGATATGATATTGATAACGTAATTATTTTCACGTACACGCACCATATATACACATACACATCTACAATCGTGAAAGTGTTGTGCCGTCGTATTATTGTCATATCTTCTTTCCATCCTGTTTACTTTCGATTTTGTCATAGTTCTAATAATAGATGAATATCAAGTGTCGTAGACGTTACAGTTATGTGAGCTATTTAAAGTGCTGGAAAGCAGCCACTTTGTGCGACGCAAATCATGAGTAAGTGTAATATATAGAGATACATTTCATATGATATATAAGCAGTAGTACAAGCTAGTGTCGCAGTAAGTATCCATCGTTTCACGACGTATCATTTGTGAGCGCAAATTTATAAGTACATATTGCTTTCTCTCTATGTGTGTGTTTAAAACTTCTTTTAATACATTCTTTGTTAAATATATAAGTATTTATTATTAACTGATATTATTATTTTATATTTATTATTATTATTTATTATTATTACTAACTGATATTATTATTTTATATTTATTATTACATATCTTGTCACTCTCTATTTTATATTATTGGAATTGCAATAGTTTGTCGAGTTATCAGTAATGTGATAATGTACGGAAAAATGGAAGCGAAATTGAGCAAAAGTTAAATTATAAATTATATATAATAATGATTAATAATCAAAGAAAATTTCTATTAATTTGAAGAAAAAATATGTGTAGTTATTTCAATTTCAGAATATCTACATACGTAAATATAGAGCTGTCTTTCCGTTTTCACGACATTAATTTATTCTGGATTCACTACATACAGGGTGTTATAAAAGTCCTGGAAGAGCAGATAACTCGAAAAATATGAGTCCTAAAAAAATGCGAAGTACTGGGTTTTTATGATTTTTCCCTGGCTATCTGACGATGACCTAGGATTTGACCTTGACAATGATCTTGAAGGTCATTTCAAGGTCAGGTCAATTTTTTTAAATGGTACCCCATACTTTTGACCCCAGAAATGAAAATAGTGGAAAATTTTATGTTCGGATATGACCTTGAGCACTGCCAAATTTGACCTCTGAAGGTTACATAAAGGTCTAAGCTTGTTTTAGGATGAAAACGCGAATATCTTCGAAAATGCACCTGCTAGGGAACGATATTACGCATAAGAATAAGAATATAGAGGTCAACGAGGGACATTAAGCCGTGACCTTGCCCTTATTCTCAAGCTCATGAGTTAAGATTATTATTAAGGTCAAACTGGACTTTTTTAGGACTGAAATCCATACTTTTGACCTAAAAGTGTCAAGATTAAAAAATTTTACGTTCGGATATGACGTTTCCAACCTTGACGTTGTTCTTAAGGTTATGTGTCAGTCATATCAAGGTCAATTAATTTCTTTAGGCTGGGAACACATACTTTTACCCTCCATTAATGTGAAGAGTGAAATTTTACCTTACCTTCGCCTTCATTACGAAAGTTTTCATTGAACAGCAATCTCACTTCACTGTATGACCTTTGTCTATCCCCCCATCCTCTCATCATCAATAGCGAAACTCTCTCATGCTCTGTAACAGAAGCCATTTGGAATTGAAAACAAAAAATTAGCAAAAATTTGATATAAAAAATTCGGTTTCTTTACCTTTAAATAAAAATAATAAGTAATGTACCATTGATCGTGAATAATAATATGATAATAATTCAAAACGGACTAGAATGACATCAAAACTTGTTAAATTGATGAAAACTCAAAAGCAATCTATTATCTGTTTGACACTGATAGAATCGAGACAAATAAAAACCTTGAAGCATATACTTTATCGATGGCGTATAAATTTTTCGGATACCGATCCTGGGATTTTTGAGCTCGCTAAAACCGAATCCGACGTCGGATTTTGCAAATTCAAGATGGCCGATTCAAAATAGCAGCCGATATTTAAGAATAACAAAAATTGGATCTCGTTTAAGGAGTTTTTGAAGTCGTTTCTGAAATCGAATCCTACGTTGGATTTTACAAATTCAAGATGACCGATCCAAAATGGCGCCCGATATCGAGGAATTACCAACAATCGGAGTGTGACCTCGTACGTAACGTAAAATCTCATTCTTCACATTATGGAGGAGGGGGGGTAAACGTATGTGTTTCCAGCCTCAAAAATTAATTGACCTTGATATGACTGACACATAACCTTAAGAACAAGGTCAAGGTTGAAATAGTCATATCCGAACGTAAAATTGTTCAATCTTGACACTTTTAGGTCAAAAGTATGGATTTTCAGTCCGAAAAAGTCCGGTTTGACCTTAATAATAATCTTAACTCATGACCTTGAGAATAAGGGCAAGGTCACGGCTGAATGTCCCTCGTTGACTTCTACATTCTTATTCTTATGCGTAATATCGCTTCCTAGCAGGTGCATTTTCGAAGATATTCGCGTTTTCATCCTAAAACAAGCTTAGACCTTTATGTGACCTTCAGAGGTCAAATTTGGCAGTGTTCAAGGTCATATCCGAACGTAAAATTTCCCGCTCTTTTCATTTATGAGGTCAAAAGTATGGGGTACCATTTAAAAATTGACCTGACCTTGAAATGACCTTCAAGGTCATTGTCAAAGTCAAATCCAAGGTCACCGTCAGCCGATAACCAGGAAAAAATCATAAAAACCCAGTATTTCGCATCTTTTCTAGAACTCATATTTTTCGAGTTATTCTGCTCTTCCGGGACTTTTATAACACCCTGTATATTTGACAGAGAGAAGAAGCGGCATCAGGATTAACATAAGAAAATCACTGCATTAATTATAAAGTGTGTTTTATTTTATATATTATTTTATATATCATAGTTCGAGAAAAATATTCCATTTTAATATTTTTCAGAATGATGCAATTTAATCCCTTGGATGTTATAATGTTACTCTATACAACTTTCATTGCTCTTAACTTTCCACAAAGTCCGATAACTCCAAAAGAAGTAGAAGTGAAGGAGAAGATTGAATATTTGTTAAAAGAAATAGAAAATGAAGAGGAATTTGAAATAGAAGAGGAAGAAACTTTAGATTTTTACAATACATATGAAGTTCCATAAGCGTAAAATATTGATTTATTAGAGGAAAATGAAAGAAAAGAATATCTCCCGGAAAAAGTTATTTGTAGCTCCGTTGAAGCAGGAATATCAAATGATTATAAAAGGCAAGCTGTGGAATACTGGAAGAGCGGTAAAACAGGACCAAGATCGCTTGAAGGAGTTAAAAGAAGATATAGAAAAGTAACATCGATGCGACAATTACGACAATGGGAGGACCAAATCAGTGCAGGTGGCAGCAGAGATGAAAAATTAAAAAGAATTTCTGAATATACAGAGTGTTGCACAGACATACAGTTCAGTATGACGGGTTGCGTGCCCTTCAGGCGCGCGCGCGTGGCCGATAATGCAGGGCTTACCGATAAAATGACATGCCTACTTTATCCAATAAAGTGTGCAGTGCTTATAATTATTACGATCGCAACGGATTTGCACTGCATATATAAATATAATTTAAAAGATTAAAAAATTATATATATATATATGCACGGAATAATTAAAATTAATAAGTAAGAGGATAAAAGAATATTTTTCGTTTAACATAATTTCTTAACCTTTTCTGGCGTTAGAAATTTTTATAAAAATTAGAGATTATAGAGAAAAAAGTTAAGGTGTTATAACCGAAAAAGTCCGGTTTGACCTTAATAATAATCTTAACTCATGAGTTTGAGAATAAGGGCAAGGTCACGGCTTAATGTCCCTCGTTGACCTCTATATTCTTATTCTTATGCGTAATATCGTTCCCTAGCAGGTGCATTTTCGAAGATATTCGCGTTTTCATCCTAAAACAAGCTTAGACCTTTATGTAACCTTCAGAGGTCAAATTTGGCAGTGCTCAAGGTCATATCCGAACATAAAATTTTCCACTATTTTCATTTCTGGGGTCAAAAGTATGGGGTACCATTTAAAAAAATTGACCTGACCTTGAAATGACCTTCAAGATCATTGTCAAGGTCAAATCCTAGGTCATCGTCAGATAGCCAGGGAAAAATCATAAAAACCCAGTACTTCGCATTTTTTTAGGACTCATATTTTTCGAGTTATCTGCTCTTCCAGGACTTTTATAACACCCTGTATGTAGTGAATCCAGAATAAATTAATGTCGTGAAAACGGAAAGACAGCTCTATATTTACGTATGTAGATATTCTGAAATTGAAATAACTACACATATTTTTTCTTCAAATTAATAGAAATTTTCTTTGATTATTAATCATTATTATATATAATTTATAATTTAACTTTTGCTCAATTTCGCTTCCATTTTTCCGTACATTATCACATTACTGATAACTCGACAAACTATTGCAATTCCAATAATATAAAATAGAGAGTGACAAGATATGTAATAATAAATATAAAATAATAATATCAGTTAGTAATAATAATAAATAATAATAATAAATATAAAATAATAATATCAGTTAATAATAAATACTTATATATTTAACAAAGAATGTATTAAAAGAAGTTTTAAACACACACATAGAGAGAAAGCAATATGTACTTATAAATTTGCGCTCACAAATGATACGTCGTGAAACGATGGATACTTACTGCGACACTAGCTTGTACTACTGCTTATATATCATATGAAATGTATCTCTATATATTACACTTACTCATGATTTGCGTCGCACAAAGTGGCTGCTTTCCAGCACTTTAAATAGCTCACATAACTGTAACGTCTACGACACTTGATATTCATCTATTATTAGAACTATGACAAAATCGAAAGTAAACAGGATGGAAAGAAGATATGACAATAATACGACGGCACAACACTTTCACGATTGTAGATGTGTATGTGTATATATGGTGCGTGTACGTGAAAATAATTACGTTATCAATATCATATCATATCAGATATAATTATGCAATCACGTATGATTTCATGAATGCGGCGTTTTTCACGAGTCATAGATTCGATGGAAACGCCGCGTTAATAAACATGATTGATTTTGCAATTCATGTATCACTTCCGTCATAGTACTTACGTCAACCACCACAAAAATAGACACACAAACTTATCATATATAAAATCTAACTTTCATAGAGCGTATACGTATATCTTTTTATAAAAACAAAGCATAGAAATATTGTTGTGTATAAATCTATGATTGTTATTAATAACGTTATTATATATTGAAATGTTTTATGATTACATATTCTCCGTATCGGTATTAATCGCCTATTATTCGAAAGAAATTCGAAGAGGACATGTTGCGTATATTATCAAGTGAGGTAGGCGCTGTGCATAGCGTGTTACGGGTATACACGGACATTTCATATCTCCCTCCTCCGTTCCCTCTCAACCCCGTTTCCTAACCTCAATATCCTGCTCCGCCTTTGCATTCCTCCACTC